AGATAGATAGATAGATAGATAGATAGATAGATAGATAGATAGATAGATAGATAGATAGATAGATAGATGTTATTTTATTTATATATTTAATTATTTATGCACTCATTTGTTCCACTCTCGTTCTATAGGCAACGCTTGTTCACCATTCCGCAATGATTGCCTGAATGGTGGTGTATGCCGCAGCGATCCGAGAGGGGGCACTGCATGTCGCTGCCCGATCGGCTACGAAGGTCTCCAATGTGGAACGATTTCCCAGGGAACTACGCCTGGCTGTACGTATTTTAATACTACAATATATAGTTTTATCTAGAGTAGAGTTTGCCGAATCTAGTTTAGCTATTATATACTTGTTTTAGCTAAAGTGAAATTAACCTGTAACAGTTTAGTGATTGCACATACGAGTATTAGCTAGAGTAGAGTTTACCTATAGTATAGTTTAGCTGTGGTATAATTATTCCCGCTGCTATTTAAATCACGCGGAATGTCGTTTCGTGTGACAGCTCGTCTTTTTAAATCAAAATCTGAATAAACTCATGAATGAGCGCATCTATATTTTGTAAATAATATTGCTTCCATTATTTTTGTGAAGTAACATGCACCGTATCCTTTCTCGTTACAGGTACCGGAATCTTCTGCCGCATCTTTGTGAAGTAACATGCACCGTATCCTTTCTCGTTACAGGTATCGGAATCTTCTGCCGCATCTTTAACGGATCCTGAAATGCTGCACGTTATTTACATGAGACGGATGTGTTATTTTAATATTAATTAATATATGCTTAAAAGCATTGTACCTAATTAACGAAGCAATAACGTTTAGCGAGTGCCTTGTGTGGCTTGTATTATAGCGAGTGTCGTGAGAAAACTACGGGCGCACGTAATTGATGTTTTGAGATGGTATATATTTGTTCGATTTGCTATATTTGCTTAATTAATATAACTTATGATGATTGTCGGATTTTTATTATTATAAAGGCTGCTGCATATTTGTTTTAGAACACTTCATATCTTGAATCTGTATATTTGTAAGCCGCATAGGGTAAAGCGTGGGTACGTACGTAATCGTACACGGATCCGCACGCACGCACACCCGCACGAACGCAAAACATGCACGCACCTATAAATTTATGCACAGAATCGATAATTATTACAAACAATACTCCGTAGTATTTTCAGTGGTTGTGTAAACGCATCCGAATACAGATAAATTAATAATTATTGGTTATTTAATATAATGAGGTAAATAGTTATAATTATTGCGCTTGACCCAATATTATTATAATTCACACACATCAGATATAGCCGAGCTGCCGTCATGCAGTGTCGATGTAAAGAACTATATATATTATATATTATGGCTCGTTGATCAAACACCTGAAATTTCGTAAACCTTGTTTTATCTGCTATGTCCTCACATATGTGTAGGAGCTGCCCAGTGAGTGACTGAGAGTGGTCCAAGGGTCGGGTATGCATGACGTGGTGTGGCCAGACAGATCGGTATCGTGTAAGAAGAACTTTATGGTGAAATACGCTTGCAATCCGATGCTATCTCATCATACGTGCTCTGGCAGTGTCTTATCAGGATCTTATATTGATCCACTGTAATTGAATTTTACATTTAACATTGGATCGACAAACATTGGATTCAGGTCCTGACTCATTTGGCCCCTTTCTTAAATCAGTTTCTGTGTCTGTGTACTCATGCGTGTTTATTAAAATATTATTTTGTAACGCATATACGGTGTAATTTGTCTATTTACATATGTTTTTGCGGTGCGTACGTACGTGTGTGTGTGTGTGTGTGTGTGTGTGTGTGTGTGTGTGTGTGTGTGTGTGTGTGTGTGTGCGTGTGCGTGCGCGCGTGTGCGTGCGTAAGCGTGCGTACGTGTGTGCGTAGGTGCACGCGACAATTCTGGGTCAGTGCAGTCTGCGTGTAATCTGTGTGCTGTGTGTGTATGTGTGTATGTGTGTATGTGCGTGCGTGCATGCGTGTTTCATTCGAGCGTATCTCGTGTATGAGTGCGCGTACACTAGTGCGTGTTTCCATTCACACTCTCGTCGAATTAAATCCACAATCATGCAGCAGTTACAATCGCGTTTAACAACATTCTCGTCCACAATCTATATATGTTGGTCAAACTAACAATACTTCCGTGTCACGAGCGCATACAATACGATTCATGACATCACACGTGATTCAGTTTATATACATATCGCAGAAACCATGCACACGCATTAACCATGCGATTACTCCCCTGCATCTGCTAGCTGGTTGTTTCTCGAGCAAGCCAGTCCTTCATTATCGAAAGATTCTTGTATATTGATATTCAATCGATAGCCTTTGTCGTCGGGATAACCACTTTTTCTATTATACACGCGCGTCTATAATTGATGCCGTGCCATGCTCAGAACAAATATTTAATGCGCTCCTAGGTAGATGGATAAATTTTTTTTGGTATCTTAAATCTACGCTAAAGCCGTTAATTGATACACGCCATTGAACACTGTCAATCCCAATATCAGCAGTGTGTCCGAACGAATTTGTACCTGCCGTCTTCGCGCGCAAACAAACGCGACAAAGACAATTGTTCGGTTTTAAACCGGACTGACCGGTATTTTGGATGACCGCCCCTAGAAAATCGACGCAATACCGGACAATCGACGATCTTAGCGAGTCGTTTGTTTCAGACCAATGTCTAATGGATGTCCGGTAGTTGTAAAGAGTTGCCCTGGCACGCCTCTGTCTACTACTATGCATATATACTCGACCCTAATTATAATCACTTCTATACCTATACATACCATTTCCGGGACTAGAATTGTCGTTTAATAAATTGTCGTTATTATATCACCAATGTCCGCAAATCAGTTTTCGTGGGGTTTTCTCATTAATACCGCCCAAATTCACGATATATCTCAAATAGAAGTAATAAAATCCAATGTATTAAAAAATCAATTTGGTTACGCGGTAAAAGGCAGAACTATAGCGTACATAAATAATCATTACAACGAACTAGACGGCGGAATCCGCACTCCATGCAAGTTAATAAACGTTTGTTATTGTAAAAATTGGAAGACCGGAATGATCAGAGCAGCAGAGAACGTAACCTACAAATGTGTCCGTTTTTATAGTTTATTCCAACGCAACGCATACTTAAAAGTTAAAGAACAGTAATTCGTTGTTTTCTATTTTAGAAACTGCAAGATATAAACACTAAAACGCAGAACTCGCGGACCAATCTATATCTATTAAACTGATAAAGCAAATTAAGCGCATCGAATTTTTTTTACATATAATTATGCTATACATAAAATACTATGTTTGCTAATGTCTCAGTACACATATGCGCGCATACATACACACGCGCGCACACGACACACACACACACACACACACACACACACACACACACACACACACACACACACACACACACACACACACACACACACACACACACACACACACACACACAC